GGAGGACTCGGCCGGTGTTTGGAGCAAGGCAATGTGTTTGCCCATGGAGAGGAGAAACCAGTGACTCAGGATGAGGCACGATGATTAGATACCACATCGCACGGCCTGATTGCACAGGATGTCATAGAGCAACCGTGACAAGTTTTCACTCTCACGACCCGCCCCAGAGCATCTCTGGAAAGCTCCGTCTCAGGATTGCAGGCAGAAAGCTCCTGTCTTAGCCCTGCTCCACTGCCACCGCTGCCCACTCTCCCCCCATCCCACGCCTGGCGTTTCTCACCGCTCTGCATCACCCCCAGTTCTGCCCTTGCGCCGAGCAGGACTTGTTTTTATTGCACAACGGGCTCGACAGCCCCACGCGCACGACCTCAGCGCGGGCACCCGACACATGCAATGGCATCAGCGGTGCCTCCGCTACCTTAGCCAGCATCGATGAGGGGGTGGGAGCACGTTGGGATGAGGCTGACAGATGCACGTACCTGCCTGCTCTCCTCGACCCGGCTGCTGTTTCTCCGATACTGATGTCACCTTGGAAGTGCCTGCTGGCTGAAAGGGATTAGCCGCGGGATTAAGCTCCATGCATAGGCATCTGTTAGCCAAGAGCAGGGCCCGAGGAGCCATCCCTCCCTGCAGGCAGGCAGCTCCAGAGCATCAGCCAGCTCTGCTCGCAGTCAGGTGGGTGGTGGGCAGCCAAACCAGGTGGCACAGCAGCCCTTGGTCCAGATGCACCAGGAAAAGTTCAGAGAGGGCAGCAAAGAACTGAGCTACCCCTGCCCTTCGGGCAGTCTCCACTGCAGGGCAGCAGGTCCTACCTGTGCTTTCAGGTCGAAAGTCCTATCTCGAGAAGCGGTTACGGTTCCCATCCTCTGGGTGTGAAGACATCCAGCTTCTCACGACACAGAGGAGCAGAAGGTGAGGTTGAGCACGACCAAGTTTCCTCCTGCAGAAGAGGCAATGGCTCCCGGGGTCACAACAGCAGGCAGAAACTCCTAGAGAGCAGTGGAGGGCTGTGACAAGGGCTGGGGGACACTAGAGCACCTCCTTCAACTGATTCTTCTGCAGATACCTGGGCTGACTGTGCATCTCCATCTCCACGCAGCACCAAACTCATGGGAAGCCACAAGCTTTATCCCATCTTCCCAGCTTGTCCCATCCCTCCAGGGCTCAGCTTGTGCTTTAGCACCTTCTGTTCCTTCTTCACATAACTCTTGGAGCAGGAAGCTGAGGTAGAGATCTCCAGATCTTTGCATCCACACCAACTACAACCGCATACTGCAGCAGATCCTCCCCAGCTCCAGAAGCCCACACTGGCATTTCCCAGGATGCAGCATACCTCACCGCGCACCAGGTGCCTTCACAGCAACTCATGTGAAACTAAACCACGCGGCAGGCTGAGCTCAGACACAACAGGACAGAAACACGCGTATTCCCTAACCCTGAACCCCAAATCCTCAAGGGAGAGCTACAGGGTGCTTTTAAGATTGAGCTCAGAAACTCGTTCATAACTCTACGCGACACCAACGTCACGGATGACCCAAAGATTGGCGGTGACGTACCACTCCATCTCCCCTCACCAGGCGCTGCGTGCCCCAGAGGCCTAAAGCACTTGCCCCATCCCACCAGGCACAACTTCCCCTGATAAATGCCCAACTTCAGCCCACAGACACACACTTGAGGGAAAACCTCAAAGGCCCGACCTGTGGTCATCACTCTCTGCCCACACTAGAAATTTGCCATTTTATTCCAGGCTTTAGGGAAAAAAAAAACCCAACCGAACACCACAAATTCATATACCAGAAAACATTTATTTTTCCTAACTATATTAGTTTATGCAAAGCGACCTCTCCTAGCACCTCCAGACCTTACGGCATTCGAATCCTCGTGCTGCCATGGCTACAGTGCCAGCACGCAGCTGGTCCAGGACGATACAGGTGACCGGCTCAGCCTAAGGGCCCCATCCTGCCCATCTCCCAGTAACTCACACCCGTTTCGTGAAGTGTGTCACGGTGTATTGAATAATATTTGCTGTTTCATTTCTCTCACCCCAGAGAGACAGGGATGGTATCAGGGAGCAGGGATAAGGAATGACTGAGTGCCTCTGGCTTTGGGGTAGGGGGGAACCCTGAAGGTGGAGGGAGTGAATGATACCTACTACAGCCCAAGGCAGAAACACAGCAAAGTTCAAGATGCCCATCTGAAGCCAGTCAAGACGACCTGCTTAATTACTCAAGGAGCCAAACATCGCTGTAGGATGCTGGGGGGATCAAGTACACCAAGTAGAATCATAGAATCATCATAGATTGGTGTAAGTTGAAGACGGCCAGCTGCTGACTCCTTCCCTGTGGAGAAGAAATGGCACCAGAAAGAGGAGGGGGGTCAGGGCCTGGCTGAACGAAGCCACAGCCCTCAGATCCAGTGCTGGGACAGACTTTATCACACTTAAAATTAAGGTCCACATGAGCACACCCCGATCTGCTTCACAGCTCTGAAGAGCTACAGCCATTGCCAAGGGACACATCACTCCCCAAGAGCCAACTCCTCCTGCTGGTCCCACATCAGGCCAGAAGGGAACACGCTGCCATCCACACTAGGGCTCAGGTATTCACACAAGGACTGAGCCGGGAGGGGCTGCCAGCCCAGGCTCAAGACTGAGCTACTCCTGCTGCAGACAGTACCGTGCCAGCACCATCCCACTACTCTGCGGAGGTCCTCAAGGACCGCAGAGGGTGTGAAGAGAGAAGGGCAAAATAAAAGCAAGATTCTTCAAACCTTTATCCCTACAAGCCAGCTCAATGAAGAGGCTGCAGAGCCTGGATTCTCCCGGGTGCCAGCTCTGGGCTTCTGCCATTTCCTACACAGTTCCTACACAGCCCCTGGCACCAACCCTCCCTGGGGGCACTCCAGCCACCCCAGCAGAGCAGCTGCACCCCCAGGCCTCCCCATGGTGAAGCACCACCTCCCTCCTAACCTCACCCAGCCCTGGCCAGGCCCCAGGGAGATGTACACTGAGCATTAAATCAGTAATTCTGTGGCACGTCAGGGTGAGCAAGCAGAGTCATCTGATTCTCCCAAGTGCCCCAGGCTGGGAAATAGTGCCAGGTGCTCAACACAAAACACCACTGGAGCCTTTGGAAGTCACTCACGTCTTTCATTAACTAGAAGGAGGAAGAGAAGCAAACCCAAAGAGGTGAACAACAGCTCTCCTATGACAGGAGAGAAGAACCCAAGCTTGCCAGGTACGCACAGGCTTATTGTGCAAGGCAACAAACCAACCTCCCTCCCAACGCTCCGAGTCAAAGCGGCCAGTATGGGAGTAAAGACACCACTGCGTAAGGACAAGTCAGTTCCAGTCATTTATTCACTGCAGCATTTGAAGTACACCAGGTACTTGAAGTTCCCCAGATAGACCACAGGAAGAATAGTTGGTAAATTTATATAAAAAGGCAGTTAAATAGATAAAAACATGGTAACCTCTCACTCTTGCTACAAACAGAGCAGACTAACCCTGAACCCAGGTTAAGATCAAACAGCTTCAGTCTTTCCAGCCAGCTGTGGTTACAACCTACACGGCCCCACACGCAGGGGAGAGCGAGGCATCCGTCCTCGCAGCTGAGGCAAGGGGTGTGCGTCTCGGGCCAGCTCTCAGGGGGCTCGGCAGAGCCCCACTTCCCGTAAGGTGCAGTCTCGTTGAGCACATCTGGAAAGCCAGCCCCGGCTCTGGTGTACAAACGAAGAGCAGCTCTACTGAAGATGGGCCTTCAAGTACTTCAGAACCCGCCACAGGTCATGTGTCGGAGCCGCCTGGAAAGACTGGTAGAACCGAGACGCAGGGCAGCACCCTGTACCGCTGCCTTTCCCACACTAAGCCAGGTGTAAACCACACGTTTTGAGGCTGTTCTTGAACTGTGCACAGTTCAGTCATGCTTTTGCAAGACACTGCCTTGCAACTGTGTTAAGACAGGCTCCACCTACTCTAGGTCTCCAGTTTTATGCCAGAAAAAATACCCTATACCAGAAACAAGTATTTCTCTTCAGTTTTCACATTTCCATTTTCAGGAACTGGTCACCTTCTGTCGAGGAGGAAGATGGGGTCTGAAACCATGTGCGGCCTGCAGAACAGCAGGCAACACAAGCAGCACCAGAATGAAGAAAGCCCATGTTACCGAGACTGTTATCCCACGGAGACTGGCTTCACTTAATCCAGAAGATCACTGTATCTCTCTAGCGTCTGCTTCTCCAGTTCCAACAGCTTTTGGTAGAATTTCTCAGCCATTTCTTCATCCACATCCATCTGGAAGACAGCAAGAACAGCACTGTGAGACCATCACCGCAGTGGCAGCCCAGACGCCGGGGGCAGCTCAAGGGATAGCGAGGTGCATCTCCAGAGCTTCTACATTCACAGGAAGGTAACTACAGGCATTAATCACCAGGACACAGGCTAGAACGTGTTTTGGTGAAGCATCACTACACACTTATCCTGCTCCAACCACTGTCTCCACTGTCTTCCAGCCTCCAGCCCGTGCCAGGAGCTACCCTAGGAAACCTCACATCAGCATTCAACATGCATCTTCTTTCCACTCCAGCCACAGGACACCCTTGGCACCAACCCTTCCGTGCAAGGCAGGACCCTAGCCAAGTCCCATTTACCTTTCTGGGCTCCACGTAGCTCTTCCCCAGACCCGAGGTACAGCTGTGGTACTTGACAAGCGCGTCCAGGTACTCTGGCTTCTGTTTGAACAGCCACACCTAGGAACAACAGCACAAACTGGTACCATACCACACTGTCCCAGCCAAGCCTACAGCCAAGGACCCGACTGCCGACGGACACAGGAGAACACACCACAAGTGATTTTACCGGGCAGGAGAAGACTTGGCATCTGGAGAAGTGTTGAGCTGGCTCCCCTCTGCTGTGACCTACCCAGCCAACAGTAAACCATGTTTATGCCCCAGTGCTAAACCGCTGAAGCGGTTCACGTGGCTAAACTCGCTCACTGCTGTTCTTGATGCACCCTGTCCCCTGTGTGTCTGCTTGACTGCCAACAAGGAGAGCAGCCTTCTCCCTGGCCAAGAGTGTTCTTCCAAAACCATTTGTTTTATGGGCACCCGATGAAGGGCACAAAGCATCACCCGCTGGATCAGCCCTGGTCACAGCCCGTCCCCCCAGCACCCACTGCTGTAAGCTGTTCAGGGTTGGGGAAATGCAGCACCCACCCGCCAACCGGGCAGAGAGGCTCCTTGGTCAAGCCAGCAGACACTGGAAGAGCTACCCGGAAAGGAGGAATATTAAAACCAAGTTGTGAACTACTTACATGAGCTTCTGCTCCATTATACGGTGTCAGAGTGTAAGTTTTGGCAAAAAAGCGGATCTGAGGGGAAAAGAAATACATGACAGAATCTGTCTTTTGGCCCAAGATTTCTCGGTCAAGCCGTCTGCAGCCCAGCCACAGCACATCAGCTATGAGAAGCAGAAATGCTTCTCCAAGTTGACGACAGGTAACACTGCACACTTATGACTGAAGTATTCCCTTCATGACCACAAACTCTGGTCTCTGGAGCCACCACCAGATCAGCAAGCCTCGCTCTGCGCCCCCCTGCCCCGAGCTCACCCCCAAAGCAAGAGGCAAAGGGCTACACAGATGCCTTGTGGGCACCTCTTCTGGAATGGGCCCCGGAGCAGATCAGGCAGGAGGCAGAGGGGATCTGCAATGCTGCCGGCGTTGAGGACATGTGAGAAGGCATCGCCTCTCCACTGCCAGGAGAAAGGCGATCCATCGGGATCAGCTGCTGCCAAGCTGGGCCAGCTTAACAGAAAGGCCCATCGTGCAGCAAGGGATCAAGGCCAGAGCAGAGAGTTTGCATGCAGGGACAGAACGGCAGTGAACACGAGAAGCTGAAGCCCAGCGGAAGAAAGGCAAGGAAAGCTTTGGGGAAGCAGGGGAAGAGATAGAGAGCAGCAGGCTTTGCTTTCCAGAGTGAGGGAAAGAAGAGAGGAGACACTGCCTTCTAGAGGGATGGAAAGAACACTGAAAAACCCAGTCTGATATAGAAACAACAGCATTTGCAAGCACAGGAGCCAAGTTTTGTCCCGGGCTCTGCTGCCACCAAAGTGATAGGGTTTCACGAGCCCACAGCAGTCTGGCAAACCAAGGGGAGCCTTGGCCAACACTGCTATGGCTGGAGGGCTGCACCCTGGCCCTATAGACAGGGCTGTCCAGCAGCAAACCCCCAAACTCAGCTTGGAAATCAAGGCCCCAGGGTGCCAAAGGGAAGGTTTGCAGCGGGGCCAGCATGCCCAACCCAACAGAAGGAAGAGCTCTACAGCAGCACAGGCAGCGAGGAGCCAGGAGCATGCTGCGCATCACTGGTGGCGAAGTGTACCGCAGCAGGGCTGCCTCAACCCAAAACCAGCCAGGAGACCCACTTACCAACCACATGATGGGCATTAGCAGCTTCCACAGAAAAACTGGCAAAATTCCATAGGTCATGTTAGACATAACAAGACCGGGACAAACAACACTGGAATACAGACCCTGCAGAGAAGAAACTGAGTCAGTGTGCAAATACACAACACTTAGGTTAAGAATGGATCATACTCCTTCCCCCCTGGTATTCCTCAGCAGGAAAGCAAAGGTGAGTGAATAGAAGATGCTCTCCCCTCTGAAGCTACCAGAGAGCGATTAGATGCAGTAGGTGAGAGATCCAAATGGGAGATGTTCACATTAAATCTGTGCCCACTGCAAGCCCACGAGAGCAAAGGCGCAGCCTCCCAACCTCATCTTGCAGTCTACATGCAGCAACAGCAGTCATCCCACAAATTACAGCCTGCTCAGATCAAGGGCTACCTCACCTTTAAGAGATGCAAGTTCAGCCTTCTAGGACTAAACCATTTGCTCCTGAAGCATTTCCAAAGAGTGCAATCACTATCACTGGTCTAGGGCTGCAGCTTTCCAACAAAATCCAGCAAACCCCTGTGACAGGGAAGGCAGGTTGCTCATAGATCTTCGTGTGACAGACCCGAACAGCAGCAGGGAGCCATCAAGAGAGACAGCAGAGCCTCCACCTCAAGTGCTTGCAGGCAGAGCTGCCTGAGCAGCCCTGTTCCAACAGGCAGGTATGCCTGAAAAAAGCAGCAGCTTTTTGCTCCTTAAGACCAATTATTCAGTCTAAAGAAACAGCTAGAGCTTGCAAGGTAGGGACTGCTCCTAGAAATCTTCTGCTTTCATTAGTTCTTCTGACAAGAACGCCAGAAGCAATGTCTCTGGCAGATTCTCCATCGCCCATGCCACCAGTAAAACCCTGACTGTGCTTAGTTTTTACATGTGTGTTAAGGAAAACACCTACTGGCATTCATTCAGAGCAATCTGCTAACAACCATGTAATGACGATCATAAATAGTAGGAGCTCATTAGGCTTTTTCAGACATGCAAACACCATCATCACCTGCTTATTACATTTCCTGTTCAGAACCACACTTGTCAGGTCAGTAGCATATTTGGAAGAACTGTATGATTCCTGCCCCTTGGCATGCTGATAGTCAGAGAGGCTGAAGGCAGACTCCCTGGCATTGCTGGAAGAGGTCCAGATGAGTTGCGAGGGCTTTTCGTTACCGCAGAGCAGACACTCAAGTTGACGAACCTGCAAAAATTGTTAACATTGAAGTCTTGCAGTATAGCTTTGCAGCTCTTAAAAGCCAGGAGCTTATTTCAGCTTTCCTAGTCCTGGCCACTCTTCACTAGACGAGCCAGAAGCAGCCACTGCTCAGGTGGCTGCTCCAGCCCAAGGCCCACCAGGAGCATTTACAAGCAGACACCACTCTCTTACACAGCTCGGCTGAGCACAGCAGAATTTAATAGAGCCAAGTCTTGGTATTTGCCCTGGACAGGGAGAACTATGTATGGGTTACCCTCTATCCACTGACTAGCCAGAGCATCTTGGAGATTGTACTAATCCTTGCAGCATTTATTGCCATTTACTGCTCTTTTAACGAAGCCCGACACCTTTGCCCTATCATTCCTTACATGTGAGGCTGCAGCCTGCAGCAGCATCCAAACTTGTAGGAAAGAACTGATTCACTCGTTCTGCCTGCAGTCATCCCTACCCACATCAACCACCAGACCAAGGGCTCGAGCTTCATACGCAGCCTCACCAGGATAAAGTGTCCGAAGAGGTTGGTAGCAAACACTTCCTGCAGCCCGTCTCCATTAAGCCTGTCCGTCTGGGTCATTATGCCTTCCGCCGTGGTCAGCATGTGCAGCACCTTCCTGCAAGCCAAGGACAGGAGTTAAAGAGGCATCTACTGCTCCCCCACCTCACAGGCTCCACACAGACTCTTTAGTTGCACCTCCCAGGGCTCTATTAATCCATGAAAAAAAAAAAAAAAGGTCAGAAGCATCTTACAGAGTACCCCAGCCCCTTTATTTGCAAGTGTCTCAGTACTGACAAGGCCACAGAAGACTTGTCTTTTCGTTCACTTCCTTACAGTAAAGTACCATTACAAAAAAATAAAACTCTTGCTCTTCCAGTTGACGTTCAGACAACAGCGTCAGGCTCCAGCATGGAATTCAGCCCCAGGGCCATGTCTAACTCAGGGAAGGAAAGCAGTCTAGCATTTATGTTCAATGCCCCAACAACTCTATTGGATTCAGCTCAAGTCACTTACTCCCCAGCTCAACTTCCCCCTGTTGCTTATAGAATAGCGATGCTTATGCTATATGCATCAACTGTGAGCTTCACAAAATACAGTGATCTACAGCTGAGAAGAATGACGAAAACCTACAGTAGAACCAAAACAGCGAGGAGACCCGGTCAGACGAACTTCACTCCTCCAGCAACACTCCGGCTCTTTTCACCCAATACCTAGTGCTGGGAGCTGTAGGGTTTGGGGGAGCCCTCGCCCCCCCAGCAGGCTGACCGCTGGGATCAGAAGCGGCACTGGGTGCCTTGGGGCACCCCACTACTTCACCGAGCTGCTGAGCCCACCCCACGCAAGGCCAGGCACCCCACAGGGATGTGTCACGCTGGAGAAGGGGGAGCAGGGTCTTCGGCCCGGGACCCAAGGGCATGCCTCGGCCGTGGCGACGCTGCCCGCATCCCACACCACCCACGAGCTGGGGACCGGTCGCCCCAGCGCCTCTCACCCAGTGAGGAGCCCATGCCAGAGCGCCTTGAAGTTCACGTGGGGGTTGGGCATGATGCCGGCGTTGAGGTAGACAAAGTCCAAGCGCTGAAACCTGCGTGGGGAAGAGCAGAGGGGTGAGGGGCGGAGGGCGGG